ACTTACGGGATCGGGTGGTCAGGCTCGCTGACTTGGTTGATGCATGTCATCGATCCCAATTGCGTGGATCGATGCTCATGATATTAATCACTGGATTGTCTGGGCCAGACTCGATTATTTACAGACCGCCGTCATAGAGCTGGAATATTGCTGAGTGCGGCGTTAAACAACACACCAACCAAAAAACGTGTACACATTCACTGTGGGTGTTGTTTAGTCTGTTGAGCTTCTATCATTAGCTGAAGGTCCGTGTAACGTTTGACAAATGATGTTGATTTGTTGTTTCCCAAAACATCTCCCAGTGCGATTAACGACTGTCCCAGGACCAAGAACATTCATTTTTACCTGACCCCAGGGCGGCGGAACTGAACCCCCAAAACAGACCAAAAACACTCGGCAAACTGAAAATCTGCTCTCGTCTACACGTCACGTGAAAGAGGCGCGAGATCTCGGGCGAACCGACTTAACTCTACGCCATTTTGGTCTGACTTTTGACCTCCATGTTTAAAGTCTCGTCCAAACACCGCGGAAAGTCACGAAGACGTTAACTTGTGTAAACAGTTAAAGGGGCTACCCGAAACTCCAGTTTTCGCCCATCTGTGCTTGCAGACAACCGCTTAGGCCTTCATGGAGAGACTGGAGGGTTAACTTTCAAATAGTTGAAGAATTTCAATTTGAGCATGTTTGAGAAATCATTTATTGAATGTTGAAATATTCTACGTCACATTCTGTAGATTTTTGCAGTGTTTGCCCTTGACGCAACCGGGTTCGTTGGTGATCTTTCTGGGCGTGCGAGAACGACACATATCCATACGTTATTTGGGTTTACTAGTCCCGTGTACTCGTAATGAACTATCAGACAGTCGTTGGCGTTAAACGTGCGTGTGATCGGCTACCGCGATCTGAGGCTCCCTTTAGGATACATTTTAATGCTTTAAAATACTTTCTGCTCTAAACGTGTTTTTCAGAAACGTATTATGATAGTTTGGAAGTTTGAATATTCACACGCATTACTTGGATCTCAAGTCGTTCAACAATTGCTTTATTTGGCTGTTAAACGAAAATTTAAGATGCCTCTTAAGCTAATATTACCCTCCATGGATTGGATCGATGATTCAGTTCCTCACACAGCAGTATAAAGACAGCAGCTGGACCAAGGATGGTCCTAGGTTCTTGATAGTGGAGTAGAGTCCCTCCTTAACACCGTTGCTCTAATCTGTATCTTTACTCCCCATAGGTATTGACATGGATTGACTTCTTTATGTATCTTAGTCAACACATGCTGGTATCGTGGATTAGGGAAAGTGTACAGATACGTTTGAAACTTACATTCAGTGTGCAACTATTTAAAACATTTTTCTTGACGATATTGTGATGGAGATCTGTTTGGCGTACAGATGGTATTATGTTTCATGGGCAGATTGCCATTAATATTATTGTTTGTATGAACTTTAAAAATGAATAATTGAAATGAAAACAAATATAGGTTTTCTTTCCTTCCCTTTCCTTGTCTCGATTTAAGTAGCCATTAAAATGCCGGGCAAGAGTAACCACATACTCATATTTGATTCAAAATGACAATGGTTTCATTTTTTTATTACAAAGTGTATGAAAAAAATGCACGATTGTCAACCGAAATCTTTTATTCATAAAATTTTGTAAATAAAAATTCACGTTATTTGCATGCCCACTATTAAACTTACTTCACGCAAGAACAGTTGCTGCCTGCTTTACACCGACCGCAGTATGAAACAGGGATGCAATTTAGCACAACACGAAAACAGCCGTACAGGATTGCATTAACATCGGGTTAAATTTCACATTTGGAAATAAAATTGTTTGAACAATGGACGCTTTTGTATATCTGTTATCCTTTGAAGGCATTATACGACAGATAGTATCAGCGGAGTCCCCTGTCCATCCCGACTGCCATGATCCGATTTTTGAGGCAGATGAGACTCCCCCCTGAACTATTTCCAGTAATAAAATGATATCAGTCTGACGCCTGCGCTATATTGCTCCTGTGAGTTGATCGGCTTTGTTTTCAATGACGTTTTGTCGTCACCCAGTTCCGCCGATTAGTACAGAACCATCTCGCGATAGTTTTGCCACCAAGGCGAGAAAACCTACCGACGCTGTTTTATCTATTGTCCATTTCGGGTTTGAGTGACACTTTTTGAAAATGAATGACAGATCGGTTTGATATGTCCGCCATCTCCAATCGGAATCAGTGTAGAGTTTTATCACACCGTCGGCTAGGCGCGACAGACTGTCGGCGGCGCCTGTACTCAGTCGCGAGGAAAACCATATCACACTCGCTGCGGGTACTTTGTATGTACTTAAGATACCAGGTTCAGTATTCATTGAAATCTACATGTACACCCCGGAGGAACATGATTTGAACTCAATTGTACTTTGATTGTTAGTTAAACACATTAATTACGACCGGAGGATAGCCGCTTACGATCATTATCAACTATTTTGGGATTGGAATTTTTCTGTCTCTTGAAAGTTAACTGCTAATTTGATGCCACGCTCTTTACTATGGGGAAGCTGCAGACATTATATTTGCAGTAATAATTTATATAATGCTTAAAAAAATTAGAACATTAAGCATCTTTGGAAGAATATGAATAAAAGTCAAGTAAACAACTTTGAATCGGACAAATCTTTTCAAAAGACAATCAATATTAATGGTGAGACGCTTGTGCAATAAGACGAATTAATGGTGGCCATAGCTCTACAATGAATAGTGAATAGGCATTTACGCCCTTGTCGACAATCTTTCAGCTAGATCACCAATTTTACGAGTAATGCTAAGCTACCTTTCATTATTGCTGTTAATAGGTCATATTTTATGGTTTTAGCCAATGCAGAATAAAATGCATATAAAAGTTTGATACAGCTAAACATTTGCTTTATCGAAGCCAATCCAATCCCCCCTCTCCCCTTCCATGCTGGGCGGGCTGTGTGAGATAGCCCGTGATTTCGGATGTTTCCAGAAGGCCCTTATAGTCACAATTCTCTCTAGTACAGTTGGCGGTGAGCTAGCGCAGTGGTTAAACCGTTCGCTGGTTTGACTCCCCATAAAGGGGGACTGTGAATTATCTAGTTTCAATTTGGGACTGACTTGTGACCGAATATTGGCCATGTGCAAGCCCAGATAGATCCCTATTATTATTATTATTATTATTATTATTATTACCAGGGGCGGTCGGGTAACCGAGTGGTTAAAGCGTTCGCTCGTCAAGCCGAAGACCCGGGTTCGATTCCCGACATGGGTACAATGTGTGAAGCCCATTTCTGGTGTCCCCCGCCGTGATATTGGTGGAATATTGCTAAAAGCGGCGTAAAACCATACTCACTCACTCACACTATTATTATTACCATTGCTGCATGTCATCGTATCCTAATTGCGTAGATCGATGCTCATAATGTCAATTACTGCATTGTCTGGTCCAGACACTATTACTTACAGACCGCCGTCGTATAGCTGGATTATTGCTGAGTGCGGCGCTAAACAAAAAACAAACAAACAAACCTACGAGAAGGATGGCTTGAGTAATTTCAAACCACGAATCCTATCTCGGGTCGGCAAATAGCCAATCAATCAACTCATATGAGCTTGGACCCGCACCGTGGTAGTCAGTATATGGATAGGTACCTTATCCACGAGACGATTAACGCCAAGGTGTCATTTTATAACCTGCAGTGATCATTAGTAGATTACCAAATGTCACCAAGACATTGACATGGTGACTTAGTATTATGTATTATGACGCGGTAAGCAATATTTCATCTACAAAACGGCCAGAATGTATGGGCATCAGCTTCTTTAATATACTGTTATAGTGATGTATTGGTACGGATCCCCATTCCGTTGTCGAGCAGGACTGCCTAGCACACGGCTCAGTATTCCATCTATTACGTTGGACTCAAACCCGCTTAAACACTAAGTACATATGTAACACGGACCATGACATAATTAACCAATTGCAATGATTAACTTAAGGAGATCCAATCTTCGACGACAAATACTGTGATGGGTCTTTAAGTTCTCGAAGCCTAATCCCTCTGTTTACTGTATTTATTACGTGAAGTTCGGGCGAATGCTTGAACCAGTTGTCTACCTCGCCTCTCCTTAGCACCATGGTTGGTTGGTTTGTTGTTTAACGCCGCACTCAGTAATATTCCACCTATATGACGACGGTCTGTAAATAATCGAGTCTGGATCAGACAATCCATAGATTGAAATCATGAGCATCGATCTACGCAATTGGGATACGATGACATGCATCAACCAAGTCGGGATGCCTGTAGTACCGTGGTAGATATACTTGGGTGTTTGCGTCTTGCATCACGCCACTTTGAAAAATACTTCTGAATATCACAGCGTGTTAGCTTGATGTGGCAGGAAAGACCGAATTGAGGCAGGTCTTAGATGTTTACCATTTGTGAGTCCACGAGTATAAGTATGGTGCTGCCAAGCCAAGGATCATATCACAGCGAAAAGGTCATTCAAACGCACATTAGTAGATACCTAAGGAAGATCCGGGGTAGAATAGGTCTTCAGCAACCCATGCTTGCCGTTAAAGGCGACTATGCTTGTCGTAAGAGGCGACTAACGGGATCGGGTGGTCAGGTTCGCTGACTTGGTTGATGCACGGTCATCGAATCCCAATGGATCGATGCTCATGATATCAATCACTGGATTGTCTGGTCCAGACTCGATTATTTTACAGACCGCCGTCATATAGCTGGAATATTGCTGAGTGCGGCGTTAAACAACAAACCAACCAACCAAAACCAAGATACCTATGGAGACAATTCTTCACAGCAAATTATGGCGCTTGTCTGGGTAACCACTGTTCCTTATATTATAATATAATATTGAATATCGTCCTTTTTAGTTTGAAATAGACACGACGAAGATTGATGAAGTGATGGATGTATCTCCTCGTTTATATTCATCTCTCTCATTCTGTTTTTTTAACCTCCAGATTCCTCCGTGGCTATCAAAATCGGCGGTTGTTTCCCTGGTTACGGAATGGTGACAACGCAAAGAGGAACCGTTGCCATGGACCATCTGGCAGTGGGAGACATGGTCCTGGGCGTTGGCAGTGGCGGACAGCTGGAATTCAGTGAGGTGATAACGTTCCTAGATCGCAACATCGGAGAGACAGCTTTGTTTTATACCATAACCACTGAAGATGGACGAACAATTACGCTGACAGCGAAACATTTGATCTACGTGACCGACTCCAACTGTACAGGGAATGTGTTCGACAGTAGCGTCGTAGTGTATGCGGAGACGGTGAAACCAGGCCAGTTTCTTCTGTACGGTAACCATGACGACAACGTGGAATATTTAAAAGCGTCACGTGTTACCATGGTTACATCGAGGACTGAAAGGGGAGTGTATGCACCTCTCACCCATAGCGGAACAATCGTTGTGGATGGCGTAGTAGCGTCTTGCTATGCTGTTATCAATAATGCGAACATTGCACATCTTGTTTTTGCGCCTATACGAGGCCTTTATGACTTATCTGCGCATGCGCCGTGGCTAACGCAACTCTCCGACGTAGTGAACACCCCAGATCCGAAGGGTGTTCACCGGTACGCAAAGGTTCTCTATAATTTTGCATCACTCTTCCTCAGCAGGAGTGTTTTATATGTTCCCTGATGTGTGTGTAGATGTGAAAACTTAATCTCAGACAAAGGTTTGTCGACGTAACCCTTGACTGCTGCGACGTCACAATATACCGCTATGAGGTCACAATACCGCCATATGAGGTCACAATACCGCTATGAGGTCACAATACCGCCATATGACGTCACGCCAGAATGCGACTTCTGACAAAATATTGAAAGCGGAGTCGTTTGAAATAGTGCTTTTGACAGACAAGTCATGTTGGTGTGCATATCAGTGCTTTGCTAAATATCGACCCAGATTTGGAGGAAAACACACTCCCATATTTCAAACCCGAAGCCAGCTTGTACGCATGTGATTTTGAAGCTTATATTGACTTCATGTGAATGTCCTATGAGAATAACACAAAACTAAAAGTGACGTCATTGTGACGTCACTGTGTGCTGACATTTTTGACATGACGTCATCAGTGTTTTGATGACACCTGTGTATATCTTTGGATGATGTTTTTTGATCAAATATGTATGTCAATAGATAATAGCAGGACTGTAGCTGGACAATGCATTTTTCATATATTAACATTTTATTTATTTGAAAGCCAAATTTTATACATCATTTCCACTATATTCGGTGTAGATACATTGAGTAGTGTATTTTTGTACAGACTGACATAGAGCATCATGATAAAACACGTTCTCACAAACTACAATTACACTTATGTACAGAATGTCGTCAATATATACCATATTTAATTTCATACATCCAACTATCTTAAGCCATGAACTTTCTCTCACATAAAACATGTGTACCCAGACTAATTCTTAAAAAAAGCAACAGAACAGGGATGACATTTTATCCGTTAAACATTTACTCAGTTCTTATCTCTGGTAGGATATCATAACAGAAACACCACGTTCGGTTTTGCATTAAATATATTACACTAAATATATCCACAAAGTGAAAACATCACCTAAATAGACCACAGAATAAAATACACAATATGTTGTGTTTAGTAGTTGTTTATTTTTTTTAATTTAACAAAAGCAAAATGCTCAAAGTTTCTAGCAGCAACATTATATAATATAAATTATTTTGCCGTGACGTACACGTGTCGGAACCACTCTGGTCACTTCTCATCGGCATGTATTTACGACCTGCTCAAGATTAAATATCCTAGACGAGTCGGACGCATGGCTTCCTTCACGCATGTGGTCATTTTGTGTCAGACATTACAATCTAAATTTCGGAGACTTTGCCCTTTTAGCGTGTTTGAGATAACGTTATGAGTGAAGAATTCTTGTTTTAACGACTTCAATTATTAAAAATTATTTTTAAATGTTTATTTAACGAATATTTGTTTGGAGGACCTTTTAGCAGATTAATCTCCGAATCTTTTCAATGTAAACCAATATATTCATGTACGCGGCTGTTTCCTTTCCATTCTGCCTTATCGATCAGGTTGAGATCGGCCGTACCGTGTACATACTCACTAAATGTATTTTCTGATAATCATTTCTGAGCATTTGTCAAAAGCTATACTACCAACATAACCAAGACAGCATTTAATTTTTTGTTATGGTTTACAATCAGAAGGTTATTACGCTTCATCCGTAATTTGAGGTAAATTGTACTCTCGCCTCACCGAATACAGTATAGTGTATTCTGCCTCGTGTAGCTAGATGGGTTTTAGGAAAGCGTTTAGTTTATACTTAGGTATTATTTTCATGAATATATTTGAGTAAGTAGAAGAGCTGAAATACCAAATTAACCGATACAGCATTTTGTGATCTGTTTTTTTCCAATCACTGTTGATGTTTTGTTAATGGAAAAGAATTAACAACAAATATCAAAATGCCCAGGTTTTGAATGAAATCCAGTTTGCTATGTACACTATTTACAAAACACTCCGAAGTGTGAGTGGTGTTCCTATACATACGTTCTTCCTGTGTGTATGTCTTGTCTATTATTTAGCGGTATTCGTTGGTAGTAACCAGCAAGTTATCCCCCTTAACTCTGTATAGATGGCGCCTTGGTACATAGATTCCCTTTCCAAACGACGCACTTTCCATTGAAAATGTGGTAATCGGTTGTGATAGATCGTCCATTCCCACGATAATGTTCGAGAGTGAATGTGTGTGGTATACTGAGTTGTCTCCCTTACATTAGAAAGCTTTCAAGACGTCCTGTTTGTAATTTCGATCTTGTTATCAGTGACACAAAGTACCTGATTCATTTGGCGAAGGAAAAAATGATCGATAAATAAAATACTTCTGAGATGATTTGTCATTAATCTTATTGAAAACGTATTTCATAAATAGATTGTCTTGCTAGGGCATGTCCACTCCAACCAAGGTCACGTTCCTAGCGAAATAACGTCAAAAGACGTGCCAAGATGGAGGCGATCAGTTTCCCTATAGATTAATCGAAGGAAATGATGTGCAGTTCCAGATACTCTATTCTCTGTTCATCAACTGTGGTACTGGTCATGTCTCCAGCTGTAATGGGATGCTGCGTCGTTCTTGCACTGTTCGCTGTACCATAAGGGATGTGAAAATTAAGGATGTGAGTAGAAACGTGAACAGGATACATAGTGCGTGCAAAAACTCATCACATGTTCATACCATGTATGCTTTTTATAAAAAAAAACACTTTTGTGTTTCAGTAGGCATTGGAAAAACAACCCTTCACACATTGAGCTTATATAGGCGACTACTTTAAGGGCATTGTACTTAAGCAGTTATTTATTATTTTTCTCTTTGATTATAACAATACATTTTTAGCTAATGTTTTGGAGCGTATTTATTTTTTATTGCTGTTTAATTCTTTTAAACTAAAAAAAGAAGAAAAAAGCAATAAGCAAATATTCTTCCGGTACTTCAACATTTTGTCATTCTGTGAAACCAAAACCATGGCATCGTGAATTTTCTATCGTGTCTTTCAGTGTATCAATGTGTTTGTTTTCTTTTGAGAAAATATGAAGTGAATTAACATGACACTAGCGTGTGCTACTTGTTGTTAGACAGTCCCAAAGGTGTTCTAAAGCTTTTGTCATTCCCGAGTTTCCTACAGTCTACCCGTACAGACAGGCTGGTATGTTGGTCATGCCTGCTATGCATGGGCTAAATTTGTCTCCATTTTTGCCAGCTTTGTGTTTAAACTGTACATTTTCTTTTTTTTCCAGTTTATCAATGTTTTTGACTATCCCAGCAACAGGTTTTGCTCTCCGTGGATTCTATAAGTAAAATATTTATTTCGTTATTGTATATTAATAAATCACTTTTGAAGAAATCTCACGTATGTTTTCAATTGATGAATGAAGCAGTAACGTCTTGATCTGCTCGACTCTTGCCACCACCAGAAACCTTTCGTATTCCAATCTACTGGACCACGGAGGCGGTCCTATGCTCTAGAGCGTGACATGGATACATGACATTCATATTAACTTACGCTCATCGCTCATCGTGACGTCACAATCGTGTACAATTAATTGTAGTTTTTACATTAAAAAAATATGTCAGGTTGTATATAGCTGAATACCGTCTTGGAGCAAAGCATGGCTGACATTTACGAACGAACGATGTCCCCTCACGATTATGTCATGCGTTTACAGGTCACAGGATTGACAGGTTATAGCGTTTACAGGTCACAGGATTGACAGGTTATAACGGTTACAGGTTACAGGATTGACAGGTTATAACGGTTACAGGTTACAGGATTGACAGGTTATAACGGTTACAGGTTACAGGATTGACAGGTTATAGCGTTTACAGGTCACAGGATTGACAGGTTATAGCGTTTACAGGTTACAGGATTGACAGGTTATAACGGTTATAGGTTAAAGGATTGACAGGTTATAGCGTTTACAGGTTACAGGATTGACAGGTTTTAACAGTTACAGGTTACAGGATTGACAGGTTATAACGTTTACAGGTTACAGGAATAACAGGTTGTAACGGTTACAGGTTACAGGATTGACAGGTTATAACGTTTACGGGTTACAGGATTGACAGGTTTTTAACGTTTACAGGTTACAGGATTGACAGGTTGTAACGGTTACAGGTTACAGGATTGACAGGTTATAACGTTTACGGGTTACAGGAATAACAGGTAACGGTTACAGGATTGACAGGTTATAACGTTTACGGGTTACAGGAATAACAGGTTGTAACGGTTACAGGTTACAGAACCGCATGTTGGCTATCAACAGGCATGGAGTCCGTGGTGGTTCGGTATGACCATCAGATAGAACTACTACTGCTTCTACTACCACTACTACTACTACTACTACTACTACTACTTCTACTACTATAACTACTGCTGCTGCTACTGCTACTTCTGCTGCTGCTTCTACTAATACTACCACTACTACTACTTCTACTGCTAGTAATGTTACTTCTGCTGCTACTACTACTCCGACTACTACTACTACTACTACTACTACTACTACTACTACTACTGCTACTGCCAAGATCACAACTTCTACTATTTCTGCTGCTGTTACTACTGCTTCTACAACTGCTACTACCACTACTACGGCTACATAAGACAAAGGCCACGTGCATTGAACCTGTCCGTGTTAACGCTGTTTGAGGCGGTATTCCAGCCATGTGATGCTACGGGCACCAGAAACGGCTTACCACATGTACCATGTGGGCTCAAACTAGGGTCTACCCTACCACCCCTCTGTCCGATAGAAGGGTAGCTGGTGGTAGGGTAGCTTAGTGGCACGCCACGCCAGAGACCCTAGTTTGATCCGACAGGGTGTAGAACAGGTCTTCAGCAACCTCTGCTTGCCGTAAAAAGCGACTATGCTTGTCGTGAGAGGCGACTTACGGGATCGGGTGGTCAGGCTCGCTGACTTGGTTGATGCATGTCATCGTGTCCTAATTGCGTGGATCGATGCTCATGACAATCACTGGATTGTCTGGTCCAGACTCGATTATTTACAGACCGTCGTCATACAGCTGGAATATTGCTGAGTGCGGCGTTAAACAACAAACAAACAAACAAACAAACAAACAAATCTATCCGACAGGTAATAGTAACGTTCAGCCTACTACATCTGCAGCAGCCGAACAATAGTGTTGATATACGACCAGGAGACCTTTCAGGTACTGGGGTTTCTCATCTGAATATTGGCTTTAAATCAGTCTGACCGAGTGCCACGTGGCGTGGAGCCCTGTCTGGTAGCCTAGTATTTAACGGTTCGAGTTCGAGGCCCCGTATCGGTATCAGTCCTGAGTCCTGTGCACACCCTACGCACCACTCATTAATTCCAGATTGTCGATCACATAATATGGGACATTAGTTTCATCTGCGTCCTTACACTATGCTGTATGCACCATAAGTGCAACGTACTTACCCGAGGGACGCTGACCGGCAGCCAGTAACGGGATGAACTGAAAGAGTGAGTGAGTGAGTATAGCTTTACGCCCTCAGGAACGTCCCAACAACATCAGCTCCGTGACGATCCGGGTTAGAATTGATCTTCAGCAACTCATGCTAGTCGTAAGAGGCGACTAACGGGATCGTGTGGTCAGGCTCGCTGACTTGGTTGATGCATGTCATCGTATCCCAGATGCTCATGATGTCGTTCACTGAATGGTCTGGTCCAGGCTCGATTATTGAGTGAGTGCAGCGTTAAACAACTTACAATCAAAACACAAGGACATGGCTGTGCTTCCAAAATGTATCCATATGGCGAACTGTATCCATATGGCGTGAAGAGGAATCATCTTAACCGCTTACCTACCCCACACCACATCCAATACGAACACAATGACTGATATTTACGATGACATGTTATTGAAGAATTGTCTGAAATTCCATGTTTGAGAAATAATTCGTTTTGTAATTGAGACCCCTTTCTGCTGGTACGTTCTGAGTTTTCCCCATGCGACTGCACTAGCTAGACGATGATTCAGTGGTGCTGCAGACGGTCATAAATTGCAGGGGGAGCAAATCTGGCCGAACACCGGTCATACGGGACAGTCTCTTCGGGATCAGGAAATAAACTTGCAGTAAGTTAAACGAAGAATCAGCTTGGATCCGGAACTAGAAAAACCTTTCTCGTAATTTTCGCACACTGGTGATAGCTGCTTGACCCAGACTGACATGGGAGAGACGAGTGGTAGCCATATTGATTTTTATAACGCATTTTCTTACCGTATGAAGAAATAAATACTTTCTTCATGTGACCAAATATCTGATAAGGCCACTTATTCGCTGGTTGTGTCCCCTGGTACAGGTCAGCGTTGAGTTGTGGCTATCTGACCAGTGACCTCGTTCAGGGAGGAGTTGTAAAAGCCCCATACAGACACATATAACAGCAGAGAAATGAGAGCCATTATTGATAGCGAGACAACAATTGTAGATAGCATCGAGACGTCAGTGTTTCTAGACGTAGTCGTGTCCCTGGGATTAATAGATTAATAGATTGTATAGGTGTTGACGGAGCCCTGAGAGGGTGCAGAGAAAACAGTGATTTCAGCACCTTGGTATCCGTGTGAGCACCTTGGTATCCTAAGAAGCACATTGGTATCCATGGCAGGACATTGCTACGCTGGCAGCACACTGGTATTACGAACAGCGCATTGGTGGCACTGGCAGCACATCAGTACCCCTGTGAGCAGATTGGTATCACTGGAAGCAGACTGGTATCCATGGGAGCTCCTTGGTATCACTGGAGGCAGACTGGCATCCATGGGAGCTCCTTGGTATCACTGGAGGCAGACTGGCATCCATGGGAGCTCCTTGGTATCACTGGAGGCAGACTGGCATCAATGGGAGCTCCTTGGTATTACTGGAGGCAGACTGGTATCCATGGGAGCTCCTTGGTATCACTGGAAGCAGATTGGCATCCATGGGAGCTCCTTGGTATAACTGGAAGCAGATTCGTATCCATGGGAGCTCCTTGGTATCACTGGAGGCAGACTGGTATCCATGGGAGCTCCTTGGTATCACTGGGGGCAGACTGGTATCCATGGGTGCTCCTTGGTATTACTGGAAGCAGACTGGTATCCATGGGAGCTCCTTGGTATTACTGGAGGCAGACTGGTATCCATGGGAGCTCATTGGTATCACTGGAGGCAGACTGGTATCCATGGGAGCTCCTTGGTATCACTTGAGGCAGACTGGTATCCATGGGAGCTCCTTGGTATCACTGGAGGCAGACTGGTATCGATGGGAGCTCCTTGGTATCACTGGAGGCAGACTGGTATCGATGGGAGCTCCTTGGTATAACTAGGGGCAGACTGGTATCGATGGGAGCTCCTTGGTATAACTGGGGGCAGACTGGTACTTAAAGCAAACCATTGGTATCCGTCGGGGCATATTGGTATCCCTGGCGGCACATACGTAACTATGTAAGTACATTGATATCTTTGGCAGCACAAATCACCGATATCAGCTGGTAATTATTACTACTACTACTACTACTACTACTGCTAGCACCAGCAGCAGCAGCAGCAGCACCACCACCACCACCACCACCACCACCACCACCACAAATATTACTACTACCACTACTACTACTACTACTACTACTACTACTACCATTACCACTACTACTACCACCACCACCACCACCACTACTGCTACTACCACCACCACTACCACTACTACTACTACTACTACCACCACCAGCACCACTACTACTACTAATACTACTACTACTACCACCATACCACCACCACCACCACCACTACTACTACTACCACCATACCACTACCACCACCACCACCACCACCACCACCGTCACCATCAACACCATCACCACTACTACTACTACTACAACCACCACCACCACCACCACCACCACCACTACTACTACTACTACTACTTCTACTACTACTACTACCATACCACCACCACCACTACTAGTACATTTACTACTACTTACACCACCACCACCAATACTACTACTACTACTTCTATTTCTACTACTACTCCTCCGACTACTACTGCAAGGTACTACTACTACTACTACTTCTACTACTACTACTACTACTACTACTACTACTGCAGGAAAGCACCACTACATCGACAACTGTCATTGCAACTATATATTCTTCTTCTACCACACCCACTGCTACAACAAATACTACAACAACAACTGCATCGGTTTCTGCTACTGCTACTTTCCGTAGCTTTCCGTTATTAAAGGACAATGACCGTTACCACTTCCCATTGTATATTTGGGCTTTGACATTGATCCATTACAATTACATCATGAATTAATTTCATCGTGTAGGGTCAGACAATATCTCTAGATAGGCAGATTACCAATT